AGGTTTGCTTGGTTGGGGTTTTTTTGGTGGGGTTTTTGGTTTTTTTTTTTTTTTTGCATGGTAGGTAAAAAACAGAGTCTTAGCAGAAAGAAAAAAGAAAAAAAAGCATCTTATAATTGTAAAATGAGTACATGAAACCTAGGTTTGGTTAGTAGTGGGACATCACAGAACCAAAAACCTAAAGCTGTTTGGAAGTCACCTAAATTCCTTGTTCTCTTAAATGCCTTATTATCAAAATATTTTAAATTTCTTCTTTTTTTGAACATTTGTGATGAGTGCCTATTCTGAGTATCACACAAATTTAAAAAGAAAGCCCTCATTACATTTATTTAAAGGTCAGCATCCGGATGTAATGAATTCTTCTTCATGCCATGGACAATGAGTGGTCTTTATAATCCTGTCTCAGGAGACGAAGTTTTGCCAGACTGTTCCAATTTCTAGCAGTTTGGTTATGAGATAGTTTACACTGAGTATTTAAACTATATTTACAGCAGAAAAGCTAGCCATCAAAAAATTCTTATGCCTGTAATGTTTCCGGCTCGGTTGTTCACTTTGGTTTGGTTCACCCCATTTAAACCAACAAATAATCCCTCAACCAAAATTATATGCCTTCTTAGAACACCACGTATTTCAACTGATAGTAACAACCAGACAAAATTTTGGCAGTTCGCAGGCACTGAAGACAGATTTATGCTGCATGATCTATTGGTGTACTTTCCAACAGTATCATAGCGAAACAATTCTAGCCTTAAAAACCTTAAATTACAGGACACATTTTGCCATGTTGAATATACTTTCCACTTTGAAAACATTGTAAGTCTGACTCTTGGAGTGTCTCTTTAGAGTGTTCCTACTACTACACTTTGCTGGTAACCCCTCTCTCAGCCTTTCAGCAGCGACATTTTTCTTACTCTAGTCTTTAACTACAAATTGTTATAACCTCTTAGGGTAATAATTTAGTGACATTTGAAATGTTCCAATTTTGACACTTAGTAATACAAAGAAAAAGGTTGTGAAATCCTTTAAGATAAATACATAATCAGTCTATTTAGAAAATATAAAACATTGGCCGGATTGGGATTTACTTTTCATTACTGTAAAATGTCACAGCTAGACTTTGTCTTGGAAACATGCATGCTGCTCAAAACTCTCTTAAACGAAACTACGGAAAGATAATTCTTTAGAGGTGAAGGTAAGATAAAGAAGGTAAATGTAAGATTTGTCTGAAATGGTGAAATGATTCTACTACACAAACAAAAAGAATAAAATAAAGGGAGATTTTTAAAACCTGTTTTATTTTGCTATTACATGGCTTTCATCAGGGTAGAGGCAAACTGTAGATGAGACTGGTTAACAATTGTGTTCAACAGCAATTGGAGGAAAATTGGGAACTCTTCCTTTATGAGCTCCCAAACCATTCTGTGGCTGTGGCTCTTTTTACACTGCTTCATTTTGCATGTTCTTTCTTGAGATACTCATTCAGAAAAACGCAGTGATCCTGGGAAGATGTGCCACTCCTCTTCTGTCCCTTCACTGCTTGCCGGGTTACTTTTTGTAAGGAGGAAGAGAAGGCTTGGGGAGGCAATGAACAGTTCTTCTAAGACAATTATTTTCCTACAAAAGTATGATTGCTAAAGTCTTAGATTTCAGCAGGGGAAAAAAGATACACATTTGGGTAAAAAAAAACCAGCAAAGCCATATGACGTATTCACAAGGATCTACCATAGTCTGTTGTCTCATTGAGGAAAGAAAGGTATATGAAAGAAGCAAACTTTTTTTTGAAGTTTTCCATATGAATCGAATGATAGTGAAATCTGTACTTATTGCATTTTTCAAAGTAAATAGTATAGCTAACTGATGATCTCTGTCCTGACAAATAGAACTGAATATATTGTTTTAAGAACTGTATCAATGTAAACTTCCTGCAACATTATGCCAGCATACCCCAATCTCAGAAAACAAAAAGCTAAAAAAATTCAGAGGTATAAATCTGTTTTGTTCTTATCTTGCAAAAAATA